GCGCGGCAGAGTAGTTGTAGCCGTTTGACGAGTGCCGCGCGAGCAAGTAGAGCACAAGCATCGCACCGCGGAACTCGTTCGCCCGCGTCGCCACATCGGGGAATCGCCAGCACGTCGACCGCTGCAGGTTGCGCCGCCTCCGCCTCGCCTCGATATCCACTGATGGAATGCCAAGAACAATGAGAAACTTCCGCTCCTTCCACGTCTCCACAACACTGCGAGGAACATGTCGCAGCGCCTCGTCATCCGAAGTGCAGGAGACGCCTCCAGACGGTTGGCGAGGGCTGATGTGCGGGGCACCCTTCGAATCCAACCCAGGGCCGATGTCAAGGGGTTGAACTTCAAACAGCGCAAACAGAAGCATGAGGAAGCAGATGCCAACGACTGAGGCAAACCTTTTTTCGAGCCGCGCCATCCTTACTGCGTTCTTGTGGAAAGGAGAAAGCAGAGATGTGAACAGAGTCGCAAAGAGTGTTATAATAAAACTGTGGTGCGTGCCTGTCGGTTTGTCGTGTTGCTATTTTTTTTTAAAAAAAATATACGTGCGTTGTTGTCGTGTTGTTAAGATGGCGAGGAGTGTGCCATGTGTGTTGTTTGGTTGTGGGACGGTTTTTATTTTAGTAGCACATGATAATTTCTTGAAACACCTTAGTTAAGAGTTACGGCCTACGCAAACGCAACAATGCAAACATTTTCTTCCGTGATCTCCCTTTGAGTGTACTGGCATAGGTAGGCAGCTCGGTATCCACTTTGTTTCAAGTACTGTATCCGTAGGGCATCGATGACGCGCTTGCAGCATACACCTGTGATGCGGCTTTCGTGATCAACACAAGCCCCACTGACAGCCCAGGAAGACATGGAAGCAATTGCTGCAAACTCCGCGGGAGAAAGGGTGTATGTCGTTCCCGGCAGACGCAAAACGGTATCACCGTTTCTGCCTGTGGATTCCAGCGAGTTGATGTGCCGCAGCTCACAGCGATGGTGGCAGCATGTGGCAAGGACGACGGCACTCACGGATAGGCGTCCTTCCGTCCGAAGGTTGGGTGCCGTGATGCATGCGAGGGCAAAGTCCGTGCAGGCGCCGCAAAGGTGCTTGCCCATCGCCACCCAGTGCTCTTCTGCGTTTAGCGCAGCAGGGCGGGGATCCAAAGAAATGCTCTTATCAGCGTGTTCGCTGCTTCGGTCCCGTTTGCGAACGGAAGGGTCCCGCAGCGCAGCAGCCAAGTCGAGGTCTTTAATGTCAAGACGCAGCCGAATGAGAGGAAGACGTGTGCGGCAAACACGTGCGTCGGCTTTGCGGCGAAAGTTGTCTACATCGACCACAACAAGGAGTGGCTCACGGCACCCAACTGCTGCCATGGAACTTTGTTTCGTGGGCGTATTCCCTGGAAGATCAAAGGCGTGGGACAGTACGGCATCCTGCAACGCCACTGAGAGTCCGCCCTTTCCCGCCCCCAATTCTAGAAAGCCAGCCACCGCCGCTCCGGCGCCATCCGTTTGCACCTGGCGTCTTGAAAACCCTGCAATTGCTTTCTGCAGGCAGTGGAGCAAGGCACGGTGCTGTGGACCATGCTTGGCCGACAGTTTTCGCGTCGACGTGGATGCTTCTTCACCCTTGTTGGATATCTCCTCTGCCATCAATACCATCTGTGGCTGTACTACGGTGAAGTAACACTGACGCACGCGCGCGATAAGCTGGCGAAGGGTGTCGGCATCTAAGTGATGGTGTGTCCGTCGCTCGTGTTGCGTGTCGGACCCTGCACAATACACATTTCCGCGAAAGGCGTGGAGATTCGCTCGGTAATAAGGCAGCCGCGTGGCAACAAAGCGCAAATCCGGGCACACCTTCGTGTGGTACTGCAACCGTGATTCGTAAACAGTGTGATTGGGATTGATGGGGCATGGCACCCGCCGTGGACGTTCGGTGTCATCCGCCACCCTGATGCCGTCACTGACCTGCTGGGCTGCGAACAGCGTGGGTGTATCATGTGTGTGGCAAAAGCGGCTACCCCCGCGCTTCTCCGCACGACAGAACCGCTTCTTCAACGGGAGGTAGTGGTCGCAAAGGCTGTTGTCAGTGTTTGACTGCGGCGTCGATGCAACCCCCTCCGGCGGCATGCGTCAAAGAAAGCGAAGAAAAAAAAATGGAGTCCCCCTACCTTCCTGACCGAATGCACAGCCACGCGCCTACGTGAGTGCAGGGCGGGATTAAATGAAAAACAAGAGGAGGAGAAAAGCGACATCGCATCCAGCAACAACAAGAAGGATTTAAAAAAGCGACATCCCAACAACTTCTGCGCAGAGCCGCAATCCATACAAACCGAAAGAGAGAGAAAAAAAAAGATCAAAAAAAAAATATATATATATACAGGCACGGGAGAGGGATATAAAAATCACCACAAAACATTTCATTCATGTACATACGCCGTCACTCAGGGATGGTGTAACAAGTGGGTGGGTGGGGTGTGTGAGTGTGTGGCGCTGCAGCAAATGTGCCCCCTCCCCCCCCCCCCCCCCACCATCAACATCAACGGGTCAAAAATGCCACAACAAAACAATGGCAGCAGAAAGCCGCGCAGGCCAAAAAAAAAAAAAACACGCAGCAAAAACAAAACAAAAACAAAAACAAAACATTAGTCACGGCATTACGGCAGAAAAACAAAAAAAACGGAATCGGAGATAAAACACCCCCTTGTAGAAGGCGGAGGGGGGCGTGGAAGCCGCTGGGGACACACTAAGAGAGTAAAAGGTCTTTTTTGTTGCGGTTGTTAGTCTTGTTTTTCTCTTTCCTCGTGTCTGTTGCAGGGTGAAAAAGAGGAGGTATGAGAGGAAGCCGTGCCATTGTATGACTGGAGGGGAGGCGACGGTGCAGGTCTCTTACAACTCCGATTGCGCCTGAATCAAGGCGACTGGCGGTGCAGGGAGCTCCCAGGATTTCCAGTAGGGGTCTGGTTCAATGGGGATCCGGCACGTCGTCGGTGGGAGACGCATGTGGGCTGGTTTGTGGCGTTGGCTGCTGCGGATGCGCTCCGTCTCACTCCACAGGGGTGGAAACGCCACAGTTGTGACAACCCCCCATGCGTAGATGTACCGCTGGCGAGTCTTTGGCTTCATCACGTCGTGGATAAGTTGCAGCATTGCCATCGACTCCTCTACTTGTTCCACGCGCCGCAGGTTCTCCTCCATGAACAGCTGCAGGCAAAAGATATCAGCCAACTCCTCCCATTCCAGCTCCCCTCGCTGCTTGGACTCCTCGTAGAGAAACTCCCCTCGCGCTCGATCCTGTGCAAATTTATCCGCCCCTACAACGGATCCTTGCTGCTGCCACTCATCCCACTCTTCACGCTGCTTCTCTCCGTCGTTTTCCTTCGGTCCCTCCGCGCCTGTTGTGTGCTTCTGCAGCATCAACAACGTGGTCGCGTTCAAATTCGCCTTGGATTTGAGCTCGGAGAAGCCACGGAACCATTGTCTCTGCAGGATTTGGCGTGCGTATGCCTCTCCTTCTTCCAACGGCATGAAAAGCGTGGAAACACTCTCGGCAGAGAGGCAATACTCAGCACTCGGCACCACCGCCCTCACTTGTGAGGGCTCTACGCTCTCCGACGCCATATTACAGTCGTTGAGCGACAATGCTTGCGTGAAGTATCTGCTGCAGGAGGGGAGGCGAAACAAAAAAAGAAAACAAAATAAAATAGGGCGCGGTGCGAAAAGCGGACGGCACAGCCGCCTATGGGAAAAAAGACACAAAAGCAAACACGAGAAAAAAAAAAGGCGATTGCAGCGGCATTTCAAAAAGAAAAAAAAATTTAATATTACCGACTTCGTCTGTCACGTATCCCCCCCCCCTCCACACACACACAACACGGGAATATATTTGTGTTCTGCTGGTAATAAACCCGCCTGAGAAGAGTAGGCTAATCTTCGTGCCTTCGTTTCGGTGGCCTCGCGTTAGGCTCCCACAGCCGCAGAAATGATTGGTGCGAGCAGAAGGCGCCCGGCGTCAGCCTGGACTGCAGAATTTCCCGAAGAAAACAGCTTTCACCTCCGACATCACGTGTGAGTAAACACGACTGGAATGCGACGGGGTGTAATACACGAAACGTGCACGTTCCATCGTGGCTTCTCGCAGCAGCCACGCACGCAGAAGAAGGGGGGGGGAAGAGAGAGAGATAGAGAGAGAGCGAAGGTCACACCGCCTGGCGCCAGGAGATGAGCGGGTGTAACTGTCGCCGCTTCCTTTCCGCCGTAGAGAGTCAGCGAGGGATTCGCCTTGCGCCGCGGTGGCAGGCAAACGAAAGCAAACCCACAGTGACACTCCAACCCAAGACATGGCGCCAGCAACGCCAGTGAGCAACACAATACCGATAGCGGCCGCCTACCCACCGTACTGGGATAAGTCAAGCCGAGCCTCCCGCCCCACCATGGTTGGGTCAGACGCGGTGACGATCTTCGTGAGAACCACAACCCCCTCTGACTCAAACCTGACCGGGGAAAACATAAATCCGCCGCAACCGTCAAAGCGGAGGATCCAGTTGTGATGACCCCAGGCTGATCGGCGATGGGCAATGGTGATGAGGGAGATGCCAAGTTCGTGGCACACGTTGTACAGCCGCTCCTCCACCTCCACGTCCATCATGCTGCTGCACTCGTCAAGAATGGCAAAGCTCGGTCGATGGAAAAACAGCCGCGCCATGGCAAGTTTCTGCTTTTCACCCATCGACAGCACGTCGTCTGCCCACGAGATAGTGGAGTCCCACGTGATGTCGGGCTTTAAAAAAATGTCGTCCAGCATGGCCTGCTCCAGGCAGTGCAGCAGCGTGGATTCGCCGACGAGGACCTCGCTGGCTTTCAGCGGGTACGTAATTTGATCCCGCAGTGTCCCATTTGACATGTAGGGTCGCTGCGGCACGTAGTAAATCTGATCACTTCGCGGTTTCATGATACGGCCTCCTTGAAGCGGCCACAGCTCGCCCAAAAGTCGGACCATGGAGGACTTACCGCAGCCATTGGGGCCAACGACCAGGAGATTCATGCCCCGTTTCACGTAAAACGACAGCCCCTTGCAAAGCACCTCATTCGTCGGCAACACAATCGGGACGCGGTCAAACTCTATATAATTCCCTCGCACCACCTCCCCCGCCCCACTCCCCGCCCCATCCTCTATCACCTGTTCTATCCCCTCCTGCAGCTCGTACACACGGTTCGTTAGCGCCTGTAAAACAAAGCACCTCTTAAAATTCTCAACAATGCTCCCAATCGACACCGCCAGCTTCCTGACGAGGTACGACGTCTCCGTGAAGACCGCCATGAGTTCTGCAGCAGAATTTCCCTCCGTATGCTTATTGAACACCGCCGCCCCGCAGACGGCGGCGCCAAGTAGCACAGACCCATGCCTTAGGACAAGTCTCTCTATAAGCTCGTACCCGCCACGCACGTAGGAGGCCCACTGATCGTGCTCTACAATAGAGGCAAGGTATCTGCCCATCAGCGACAGATGAAAGTTTTGTCCCTGCGTCATGGCGTATTCCTCTGCGTATGGAACAAGCCGCTGGTGGGCGGTGACAAGGGCACCATTCCGTGCAAATTGTTCACTTACGATACCCTCAAAATCCGGGGCACAGGCGTAGGTAAAGGCTGCGAAGCCGGTGTAGTAGCCAGCGATAACCAACGGGCTGCGAGCCCCGCTGAGTGACGTTAACCTGCAAGAAAAGAGCGCGACATCAATCATGGGCTTGAGCAGCCGTGTGTACAACATTGTCACCGCCAAGGACCAGCTTTCAATGTCCTTCGTCAAGCGTTGATCCAGCTCCTTGCCACGGTGCGAGCTTGCCAGGGAAAAGAACACCTGCTGGTTCAGGTACTCGCGATAAAAGTAGCGGCTCAGGTTTGACTGAAGCTGCAGTGTCAGAACCCCCACAGAGTACTGCAGAGAACTGTTTGTGAGAGCGGTAGGTAGGCACCACGCCAAGAACGCCAGGAGGGTACTCGCCATTGCTGCGAGGTCGCACTCAATCACAGTCCTACTGAGGTGCGTACTCATCTTCACAAGGCGCAAAGTAAGGTACGTGTGCAACAGCAGCAGCGACGATATAATCATCAGCGTCCCGCTTTCCCGGGAGCGCAGGGAAGGCACGGCTATTCGCAGCAGGAAGAAAAATCGTTCGTAGCTGGACACGCGCGGTCGGTCAGCCAAATTCACGCCAAAACTACAACGCCGCCTCCGCTTCATCTCCGACACTTCTCGCGTCTTGCGTGCGTGAAACAGCTTGGCTACTTGGCGGCCCGGTGTCACCGCCAGCACCAGCAGTAAAGCCGCGAGGCTCAAGGCAAGCATTCGTGCGAGCATCCGATCGTTGCTCCGTGCCGCCACGTACTCCCTGCACAACTCAAGAAGTGACATCTTCCTCGTCCGTCTCAGTGTTCCTGGCAGGGCGTGAAAGACGGCAAGGACGCCCCGATTACTTTTGCTTGGTGTGTTTCCGCAGAAGCTTCCTTACGGCTGCACAGAGGAGAGCACACGGAAGGGGAAATGTAAAATGAAACGTCTACGCACCACCACCACCATTTTCCCCACTTCCCAGAGCAGAAGAGAGGGCTGCAGAAGAACTTCTCCTGATTTTTTTTTCTTCTTCTTTTTTTGTTTTGTTTTTGCCTCTGTTGTGTGCTCGCCCCCGCAAGGACGCATCACATGCCATTGCAAGCAAACACAAAAAAGAAATATGTCTCACACATGAGCAGTTCTATCAAATAAACATGCACGCACGCAGAAGCAAAAAACGACAACGACAGAAACCGAAGCCCACGTCTACTCCTCCTTCCCGGTAAATCTAACGGCAAAATGTCGCAGCCGAGACACGCAAACGGCTGAGCCCCATGATAACGGAGCATGTGCATATCGGTATGTCGCGCAGGACATGCGGCTTCATACGCATGAGCCAAGAAAGAGAGTTGCTCAGGTGGCAACATCTTGGGGAGCAGGGAGAGCCTCAATGGGGGCGAGAAGTGCTTCCAGCAGGTGACGCAGAGTCATGCTTTCCTCGTATGCAGCGAGCATCTCCTTCTGAAAGGCGAGGAAGCAGGCGGTGTTGACGAGAAGGGAGCCACTGTCTACATGTCGCGAGGCGCTTACGTGAACCTCATCTAAAGCGCGTGTACCGGTGACGGAAGCAGCCGCATTCTCGCCTGCAACACCGTCAACGTGGGAGGGAATGATGCCGGGGTGCAACAATGGTTTAAACGCCTCATCAGCAACAATACCGGTGGGAAGCTGCGCAGCGCGAGAGGTCCATGCAGCATGGTTTGCCCGCAGTGCCTTCTCGCACGCATGCAGAGGCGGGAAGACCTCAGCCGCGATGCGACACAGCGGTAGGACCGTGAGCTCAATCAGCTGCAGCTGCGTCTCGGCGGCGGTGGGTGTGCTGTGAGGCACGTCAAAGCCGTAAATGCCAAGATCGGTGGCAACCTTCGCCTGCCTCTGCATCATGCCAAACCACCTCTCGGCGTATCGCTCGTTCACATCAAATGCCCGCATGCAGAATGCATACTGTGACAACCTCAGCAGTAGTTGAACAAGGCGACAGCGCACAAGCCTGCTCTCTATCTGCAAGGGACCGTCCAACATAGGCCCGAGGCACGCACGCATCAGACCGCTGCAGTGCCCATGGAGCTCATCTGGAATAAGTAAGGCTCTCACGTCATCCAGCAGCGAGTGCGTCGCTGCACTGTCGTCAAGAAAGTTAAACGGTTTGTGTGCAAGGATGTCGCCAAGGTCCTGTAGGCGTCGGCGCTCCAGTAGGATGCAGCCGTGAATGCCAGCGGCGGCAGGGTCCTGCGCCGCGGCGAGAAGGCAGCCTGAGACGCCTGGATGGCCGTAGTCCATGCAGAGTGCGGCGGTGACGGCTGCCAGCAACTCTGCGCGGCTCATGTGAGGCACCATCCCGGAGTGAACCAAAAGTGCATAAAAAAATTGGGCGCATGCAGCGGCGTGGTCGGCTGTGTAGAAGAGGGTGTCTCTGAAGCCGCTTTGTAGCTGCAGCAGAAACCGCTTCCACGCGCCCAGAGCAATCGGGGGAGAATCTCCAAAAAACTCGAGCTTCTCGGCAATGGCGCACCCAATGTGAAAAAATAGCCCTGGAGAGCGTGCGCACTCGCTGCCGTCGGCGAAAGCAGGATGGTCGGCATCCAGGGCGCCGAGAATGGAGGTAAAATCCACGACAGGGGCTGGCAACCCCGTTCCGTCAAACCGACAGTACTCAACTGGCTGCAGAAACCAACGCCGGTGTGACTCCGGAGGCTGGTGATCGCGCGTAGCTCCTGCCGAGTTTTCTGCGGTGGTTCCTGAAGTTTCCGGATGCGACGCAGAAGCTGCCGCTGAACGTTTCAAATGTGCAATTTCTTGCAACAACCTCTCGGCGTCATCCTGCAGTGCCCTCAGCCGCTCTGCTGCCGCCCTCTTCTCCTCCTCTAACGACACCACGCGTTCATTCGCCGCGGCAAGCGTGTGTGTAAGGGCGTCGAGCCCGTTCTGCAGTGCATCTCGCTCACTTGTGAGACACGCAATAGTCGCATGGAAGTTTGCAACGTCCCTCTGCGGGCACATGTGCTGCTCGCCTGCATCGACTGCCCCGTCCCCGGAAGCGGCAACGACGTCATTTGACGAGGGCGTGCGAACGGAGTCCAGCTCGCCACGCAGTAGTTCGAAATCGCGCCGCAGTCGCTCCGCCTCCCGAGATTCGGCCAGCTGCTCCTCAGCATGGAGGCAGAGGGAACGCTCGAGATCCTCACAGCGGTGCATGAAACGGTCCCGCTCTTCTACGGCACTTGCGGCATCGGTGGCGAGGACGTCCAGCGACGCAGCCAATGCAGCTATGCGAGAATCCTTCTCCTGCAGGCTGCGCCGCTGCTCTGCCTGCGCCGCCTGCAATTTCTTCACCAACGCAAGAATTGTGGCGCGCCAAGTCTCAGACTTCCCCTCCAGGTCGACGAGCGTTTGTGAAAAAAGTGCATTCGCCGCTTGCGTCTGCGCAGACTCGCTGGCAAGACGGTCCCACTCGGCAAGGTGGCCCGCCACAAAGTCAAGAACAGCGCATGCCGTCTCCAGCCCGTTCCCGGTGTCGTTTCCAGAGGCACAGGCGTCGGAGAAACGCTGTGGAAACACCCAAGTCGCGGCACCGACCACGTTTTTTACGGCCTCCATAAGCTTACTAGGCACCGGCGACAACTGCGAGGCACCGGCGACGTCTGCCGTGCCGCCGCACTCCATCACAGGACGCGTTGCTTGGCTCCTGCAGCTCAGCGATGGCGTGTTGCGACGTTCCGATCGCTCCCGCCTCACCGATGTGTCTGCGACACCCTCCGCCTGCTGCCTTCGCCAGGCGCAAGTGCCTCGCGAAGTTGCTTCATGGTTTCCTCCTGCGTAATGCAGAGCAGCTCCAGTCGGTGGTTCTCCTGCGTGAGCTCCTCCACACGGCGCTGCGACGAAAGCAAAAACCGGCCAGCGGCGGAGCCTTGAGGCCTGGGCGGCGGCGCCACCGCCCCTTCCAGACCCGGCCCCCACACGTCGTACGGCATCTCCTCCCGTGGTGTTGAGGCCTGCTCAGACGAGGCCCGCTGAGACGAGGCATTCCGTGAAGCGACAACGCCACAGAGTGTTTGACGTATTTTCTGAATGCGGAAAATGGCGTTAAACTCCTTCGCGGGGGCAAACGCCCCGCCCAACACAGGCGGGCGCGCAAAAGTGCGCTTGCGTGGCCGGGGTTGCATTCCTATCTATCCGTATGGCTGATGAAGGACGCAAACACAAACGCACGGCGTGTTTGCGTGTGTGTATTTGCGGTGTGGTGCGATAACCAAAACAAAAACGAGCATGCACAAAGGGATGGAGTGGTGGGCATAAAATAAAGCTGCAAACTGCAGGACACACTCGCAGCGGCAACCAACGCATTCAAGCGAAAGGACGCAGCAACACATTATTAATGCGGTGGAGCGAACGGTCTGCTTAAAAAGTCCCAATGCACACAAGCAGATCCACCGCCTCCCCCCTCTGAACAGAAAACAAAACGAGAACTGCTAGTGTTTCTGCTAAAACTTTGCTCAGCCTCCCCTTGTACTTCTTATCTTTCCCCAAGTGCTCTCAAGAGAAATTGCGCCGTATTTGTTCCCATCCACAACACACTTCTCCCAAGCAAAATAAAAAAAAAGGAAAAAAGGAAAAAAAAGGTGCTACAGAGAAGATTCTTTTGGAAATACGCTGTACTTCCAGACAAACTTTGCGGCAGGGCAGCGCTGCCTCACGGCGTCGGCAATGCTGTCGCTTTGCGCCGCGTCCGCCGCCAACGCCACAGCAAGCCCACCACGGCCTGTTCCGGACATCTTCGCGCCGAGTGCGCCGTTTTCGCGGCAGAAGTTCACAATGGCGTCAAGCTCATCGCAGGACACTGTGAGCTCCTGACAGAGCGCGTGGTTCCTGTTCATCAGCTCCCCCAGGCGAACCAAATTTCCGGTTTCAATGGCCGCCTTGGCCTCCCCCACGCACGCGTTGTAGTGCTCCAGAAGTGCGGTGAACCACGCGGGTTTCTCCTCCTTCAGCTTCCGCACCCCCCCGACCACCTTCGTGGTGCTCGCCGTAATGCCGGTGCTGCACACCACCAGAAACAGCGGCTTCAAAAACGACACACGACTGAAGGCGGCCTTCCCGTGGTCGCGGCGGTAGGAAATGAGCCCCCCGAACGTCGCGGCCGTATTATCCACCCCGCTTGGTGTGCCGTGGTAGCCGCCCTCGCCAACGAAGGCGCTGTGGTTCACCTCCTGCTCACTCAGACCCAGCCCGTACATCTCACTTAACGCACGCGAGAGGGACACAACGTCGCTGGCAGACGCGCCAATGCCGCTACTGGGCACGAGCGAGCCGCCCAAATGAATGCGGACGCCATCCACGGTGGTGTCAATGTTTAAGTGGCGGAAGACCAGACCGTGGGCCAAGCGCTGCTCTTCGGCCTTCTCCACGATGTAGCCTGGCACGGCGGGCCGCTTGTCCACAACCGAAACCCCCGGCCTCCCCCTCGTGAGCTCCAGCCGGCACGAGGTGTACTCCTGGATGCCCGCCACAAGCGCCTCCGCGCCGTACACGACGAAGTGCTCGCCGAAGAGGATGACTTTGCCGAAGCCAATGTGCTCCTGCTCGGTGCGTTCAACAACCGCCCGACGCATGTCAGTGATGAAGTGGCAGTCCTGTGAAGGTGACAGATATGCAAAAAAAAAATCGAATGTGTTCTACGGCCGGCCGCAAAGAAAAAAAAACGCACAGAAAGAGAGAGAAAAAAAAAATGCAGAGACGCGGCTCAGCACATCTGCAGAGCCCCAAGAGAGACAACAACGCCGTCGTTGCAGCGATGGCAACATCGCCACCACCTTGCACCACTCCAAAGACAACCAGAAGGATGACACATTCATGGAGCAACGTTTCCACGCAACGTCAACACACAAACATACACGAGGCTTCCTCTGAAATAGCACTCGCAGCATGGGAGCATAAGAAGATACAAAGCATCGATTTAGAGAAATGAGACATTTAGAGGTCCGGATCTTCTCCCGCAGGATCGCACCGCTCATGTCGCCTGGACCACACAGCTGAACCGAAACATACACTGCAATGCCCGCCCGCCACGGGAACTGACACTCTGCAACGCTGGACGTGATGAATGTCTTCTTATCGCAACCTACAAAAGTGTGTGCAGCATACAAAAGAAACCAACTAAAAGCTTTAAAAAAAGCGCCACAATACACCGCGGTACCCGTGGGACAGGCACCCCCCCCCCCCAAAAAAAAAAGACTCCGCTTGCCCCAATATTTCCAGTGAAACCCAATAAAGCACCCAACACCGCATCCAACCGTCCGTGCGCTAGAATGTGTACCTCCGCCAAAGGCCTCCCTCGAGTTACCATAATCCTTCACCATCATCCCCACGACGGGGCATTCGTAATGCCCCCAACAATGACACTATAATTACGGTAACAACGCCATAACAAAAAAAAAGCAAAGGGAACATCATTCACAAACAACAACGTGGTGATTCCGCAAAACGTAACTCACACTTCGCAGCCTCGGGAATATTGCAGCGTCCGACGGCCCATCCCACCGCGGCACCATGCCAAACCGCACGCACCCTATACAACGCACTGCCGGCAACGCCGCTGAGGCGCCACAAAGGACACAGGCAGGTACCCAAAAATCTGTGTGCACGCCACGGGACCAGCCAAGCAAATTACAGTCGACACAAGCGCATAATGAAAAAAAAAGCACACAAACAACGTAGAACTTATATGCAGTGCCAGTTGGGCCAGCGCCGCCTTCACACGAAAAAAAAAGCACCCCACTAGAGGGAGTAAAATGCAACAGAGGCTGACGTCGTTCACGATGCACACGGGGGTCTGCTGAGTCCTTGGCCGCGGCCGAGTGCGAAATCTACAGTAGTGTTACTTTCCCTGGGCCGAGGTGTGCGTGGCTGTGAGGCGTTGAGCGCAAATAACGACTAATGGCTCGGCGTGCATTGCGTGGAAATCTGCGTGGTGTAACTGAACGCAATGCTTCATCATCTGCTCTTTTGCCATCTTTTCACCGCCGCAACGGCGCACAAGTAATCTCGGCTCCCCACCTTTTCATTGGCACGCCCTCCACAGCCCCTTCGTAAAACACCCTGGGTCTCCCTCCTTGCTGTCCAGGCAATGCTGCTCAACCCAGCTGTTGTTATCCCCAAAACCGGAAAACAAAACAAAGCAAAGTAGTGGGAAAACACGTGCATTTTTAAGTAATGAAATAAATTGAACATTCAAAGAAATTGCCCCACTCCCCGTGGGCGAGTGGCCATGTCACGCACTTGTAAAACAACATCGTCTTCAGGCACAGTCCAAGATGACGCCGTCACGATGCGACGTGCTCCAGCTTTTCCATCCACCGCCCTGAAATGACTTATCCTCTTTTACTTTCCTCCCCCTATCCCTCCTCACTAGAATGATACCTAAAGAAGTTCTTTAACGGAGGTCATATAATGCATGATCACAGCAAAAATAAAACATTATTCACCACTACCAAAAGCAATCAAAAACAAATCCTCCCCTCATTCGCCTGTACCTTTGGGGCAAAGGAAAAGTATCATTCCCAAAGCGGCGCATCAACAGTTCGTACTCGCTCTCCCAAAGGTGGTGCACAACAACGGAGCCTTGGGATACAGGTCCAAGATGGCTACCGACGTGAACGTCATGAAAGCGGCACGGACCCTCCTTAACGTACACCAACTCCTTGTAGCGGATCTCGCGCAGCACGCGACCCACCATCGCATCCTCGTGGTTCATGTTCAAGCTGAGAAACTCCGGCTCCCTCTCCACGCTGTACGGCAGACAAACCAGTCGCCGCAGCGGCTCATAGGAGACAAACTGCTGTGCAACGTCCCTCGCCAGCGTCATGCATCTTCCATTCACATAATTCACAGGCTCACCAGGGGAATATTTTTCGAGGAGACCCCAGTAAATGCCACAGCGCGGCAGCGTGCGCAGATCGACAAGGAACT